ATTATATATTGTTGTTTATATATGACTGTATATATATTATTTTACTATTATTATTATTATTTTTTCTATTCCTTGTCTCAGTTTGTTGGTTTTGTTTGATGTGTCAATATAAAATGAAAAAATAAAGAGTTCAAAAAAAAAAAAAAGACACATATTCAAATGACGAAAACTTCCCAAGAGACATTCTATAGGAGACAAAATGGTCGCTAAAAATGGCGACCATTTTGCAGCTAAGCTATGTATATATATTATACACTACCATTCAAAAGCCCTCCATTTGCAGCAATTACGACATTGCACCACGACATTTGCAGCTAGAATAGTCATTTACCACATGAGCAATGTAGTGTATTTCTTTAAAGTTAAGACTAGTTTGAAGTTATCAGTTCTTTTCCTTCAAGAATAAGGACATTTTATATATATAGTCTGTCTGTCTGTCTGTCTGTCTGTCTGTCTGTATTATATATATATATAATCTAATATATATAAATCTATATATATGTATATTTTATATATATATATATATATTTCATATACCTACGATCAACACAAAGGACTTAACTTGCCGACCGCTGACAAGCAATACAACCAGAGCCCGCACACACTACCTGAGTTTTGAGGTCCCCACCCCGACCATACCCCCCCCCCTTCCCGCCATTACCCCATAATGATTCTTTCCGGAGCCAGCACACACAAACTGAGTTTTGAGGTCCCCACCCTGACTCTGCCTACATTCTTTATTTTTACTGCTATACTTTCCATTCTACCACGTCTTACGTGAGCGACTATTTCTAAATTATCTTTGTTAAACAGTATGTATAAAAGTTTAGAGAGTTGGCTGTGGCCTGTGGGTGCGCTCGTTTTTCAAACGGGATGTCCCGGAGTTTTCTTTTATGTTGAATGCGTGACTTTAACTCAGAGGTGTAATCAATGTGGAAATCAAGCGCTCCGTCCTCTTCCCCTGATTCAGTCCGCGCCAGAGAGCAGATAGGACGGACGCGGTCAAAGTTGGCTCTGGAGAAATGGTAAGTGAATATATTTACTTGATTTTTACATTGAGGGGGATGACAGACTGAATGTTACGTTAAAAAAGTACGCTTTATATTATTGTAATGGTGGAAATTCACCGCGGGTATTGCAACAAGCTAATTGAACTAGCATTATCTCAGTGGAACCCCGCGCTATGTGCTAATAGGGCTAGCGTCAGCTAGCATTAGCTGAGTGTCATTTATGGACCTTATTCAAGCTCTGTTTGCATGACTCAAACCCCCTCCAACCCACCTGCAGGTGGACAGTGGGTCATACAGGGGTCATACAGAAGTTTCCTGTGTAATTATGAGCAGATCAGCCCAAAATGACAAAAAAATACAATCCAACCTACAGAACTACCGCATCTTTTTTGTTAGCCACTGTCTGTCATGTTGGCGCCACATGCTCTGTTATGTAACAGATTGATAAATACTTTATTAGGGCGGCACGGTGGCTGAGTGGATAGCACTCTCGCCTCTCAGCAAGAAGGTCCTGGGTTCGAATCCCGGTCGGACCAGGGCCTTTCTGAGTGGAGTTTGCATGTTCTCCCCGTGTCTGCGTAGGTTTCCTCCGGGTACTCCGGTTTCCCCTACCACTAAAAATATGTCCAATAGGTCTGGCATGCGCCTCCTGTACTGGCGACCCCGCTCCCATCTCTGTGTGGAGTGAGAGACAAATGCCCAAAATTAATAATTGTAAACCGCTTTGAGACTCAGATCTGCAGTGAAAAGGCGGTATATAAATAAAAACTTACTTACTTACTTACTTACTTACTTATTGATCCCCATAGGAGAAATGCAGGTGGCCAGTAGAAGCAGAAACACATGCATCCATAAAAGTAAAACAAATAAATAGCCAATTGAAAAAGTAACAATATTATTTATTGATAACTAATGATTAATAGTGTTATAACTTAGACCTGTATGACTTAAACATGATATTTTACGTATTTATGTGTTTATATGGGTTTTCTGCTGCTGGACCTGAATTTCTTATGGGGACTAATTAGGGCTGGGCGATTAATCGATTTTAATCATTAATTCGAGTTTTACGTTTAGGGCGATTTCTTTTTTTAAAAATTCGATTTTTATTTTCTCCAGTGTTACGTTAGCTGAACCTCACTTAACGTAGTAACACAGACAACACGTGTGTAAAGCAAGTCACGTCTTTACTTGGAGAACTAACATGTGTGTAACCACAATACATGTCCGGGTGAAGCATAACATAGTTCCGCCTTACTCAACACCTCCCCTCTTTAGTCAGAACCTTCCCACATGCTTTTAAATTTCAAATCAATGTCAAAACTTACATTAGACATTTTTAAACACTTGTAAACAGTTTTCTTTTTGTGAACACTTCTGTAACATTCCTATTTTGAACAAAATAGTAAACATTCACTTGTACCATAGCACATTTCTACAAGTCTAAGCGCTTGGGAGGACGGGACACACGTCCTGAGGATGTTATATACGGGGCTGTGTCCTGTATGTTATCATTATGTGTGCTTTTATCATTACATGTGTATGTCTCCGCACTAGTAGATTCACCTGTTGACTCTGCAGATGCTGGTAAACATAATGGTCTCACATGAGCACGATTACGCCTGATTTGTCCCTCGTCAGTGTTGATAACATATGACCTTGGTGTAGTTGCTTTGTGTACGACTGTCCCTTCTTTGTTCTCTCTTGGGAGCCACACATTCTGACCGGTCTGCAGACAGGGTAATGGCCTGGTCCTGTAGCGCCGATCGTAGCGTCGTTGTTGGTTTGATTTGTTCCGTCTCTGATTGTCTCTAAAGTCTTTGATGTTTGGCCACCGTGGTGAGAGGGTGACTGGACGCTGTGGCAGTGTTGTTCTTAATTGTCTGCCCATCAGAAGCTGTGCGGGAGAATATCCGCACTCGAGAGGAGTAGCCCGGTATGCTAGAAGTGCTTTTGTCTTTTCACCTCCTCCTTTCCACAGTCCTTTTACAGTGGCTACCGCTCTTTCAGCTTCGCCATTTGCCTGTGGATACCGAGGGCTACTGGTAGTGTGAATGAACCCATACTCTGCAGCAAAGTCTTTAAATAAATCACTGCTGTATTGGGGCCCATTGTCCGATACTACCACCTCGGCAATTCCATGGCGACTAAATGTCTCCTTGATGGCCGCTATGACTGTAGCAGACGATGGAGCATTCAGTTTTGCCACTTCAATATACCTCGAGAAGTAGTCCACAATCAGAATGAAAGTCTCTTTCTCCCAGAAAAACAAATCAGTCCCTACCCTCTGCCAGGGACGCTCTGGTATGGGTGTGGTCAGCAGTGGTTCCCTGTATTCCGCTCTGTGCTTGGAACACGTATCACAGTTTTCCACTAACTGACTGATTTGTACTGATATTCCTGGCCACCAGACTGATTGACGGGCCCTAGCTCTACATTTGACTATGCCTTGGTGACCACTGTGAAGCTGATTCAAAATGTCTCTCCTCATCTTTGTTGGAATGAACCGTCTCTGTCCTCTCAGTAAGAGCTCTCCTGCTACGCTTAGATTCTCTCTTTCCCCCCAGTATATTACTAAATCTGGAGGAAGGGCCTGTTTTTCGGGCCAACCGGTCTTACAATACTGTATGAGTCTCTTACAGACAGAGTCATTTTGTTGTTCCTGCTGGATGCCTCGTAATCTGGGCTCTGTGGCTGGTATACTCTGGACCACTGAATCTATGAACACTTGGACCTCAGTTTCATTTTTCAGTTCCTCCTGAGTGAATGTGTAATTCACTGGTGCTCTCGACAGGGTGTCTGCTGTTATTAACTGCTTCCCTGGAACGTGTACAATCTCGAATGTGAACTTCATTAGTCTCAAACGGAACCTCAGTACTCTCGGGGGTAACTCATCCAATGCTTTGGTACTCAGTAGAGGTACTAGAGGTTTATGGTCTGTCTCTAACTTGAAAGTGAGTCCATGGACATAGGGCGCTAACCTTTCACATGCCCATGTCACAGCCAGAGCCTCTTTTTCTATTTGAGCGTAATGTTTTTCTGCTTCTGTCAAGCCTCTGGAAATGAACACTACTGGCCTCCATGTTCCATCTTTCTGTGCCTGTGTAAGAACGGCACCGAGCCCATATGATGAGGCGTCGGCTGCCACACATGTCTCTGCCTCTATAGAATATGAAGCCAGGACACGTGGTGAACTCAGTTCAGTCTTAAGTTTTAGAAAAGCCTCCTTCTGTGGGGCTCCCCAGTGCCACTCATTCTTTTCACTGAGTAAATCTTTCAATGGTTTTGAGAAAGATGCAAGATGTGGGAGAAACTTCCCTAGGTAGTTTGCCATGCCCATAATTCTCCTCACACCCTCTGCATCACTCGGTTCTGGCATTTCTATTATCGCCTTGACTTTGTTTGGATCTGGGGACACACCTTCTGCTGTGACACAGTGACCCACAAACATTATTCTGTCTTTTAGGAACTCACACTTATCATTTAGTGTGAGTCCTTCTGACCTGAGCCTCTTCATCACCTTGTGGAGTCTCTCGTTGTGTTGCTGTGTGTTTTCTCCAAAGACCACGACGTCATCGGCGTGGCACACTACTCCCTCGCACCCCTCTAGCATCTGTGACATCCGACGCTGGAAGTGCTCAGGAGCCGATGAGATCCCAAATGGCAACCGGTTAAATGCATACCTGCCGAATGGGGTTATAAACGTTGTTAGTAGCTTGCTTTCTTCGGCCAATGGGATCTGCCAGAAACCTGAGGTGGCATCAAGTTTAGTGAACATCTTTGCTCCGGACAGCATGGCCAAAGTGTGGTCCACTGCCGGAAGGATGTGTCTCTCCCGCCGCACCCACTTATTTAAATGAGTCATGTCCACACACAGTCTTATCTTGCCTGGTCGTGCTTTTGGCGCTACTACCAAGCCTGCGCACCAAGGTGTGGGCTGTGTAACTCTGGATATCACTCCCATGTCCTCCATACGTTCCAACTCACTCTTCACCTTATCCCGCAGTGGAAGGGGCACTCTGCGTGGGGTTGAGAGGGCGTATGGGACTGCTCCTGGGTCGAGCTCAATCCTGTAGGGCTCTTTGAGTTTTCCCAGTCCTGAAAACACTGTCGGGTACAAAGTTTTAAAATCCACTGGTTCCACAAGCACTGAATTTACTCGTTTAATCAGCTCCAATGCTGTGATAGCAGGGAGGCCTAGCAACGGTTTGTACAGTCCTTTGACAACATACACATCCTGAGTAGTTGTCTTTTTATTACCAGTGATTTTACCTTTGAACCATCCCTTGACATCCAGTTTTTGTTTTCCTGGACCATACAGCTCTTTACATGGCGGCATCAAAGCGCCATGTTTCTGTGGAGAGTAAATACTGCACGGGATTGCTGTGACACTGGCTCCAGTGTCCAACTTGAAGACTGTTTCTTCTTCATTGAGATGTACAGTATCACTCCACTCATCCGACACTTCACATATCATTTCGCCCAAAAACGCAAAATCCTCTTCATCTCTACCTCTGCTATGGAATTCTGTGATATTGTGGACCCCCGCTGACCTGCATTTCTTTGCATAATGTCCTTTTTTGTGACACTTCCTGCACTCTGCGTCTCGAGCTGGGCACTCAGTCCTTGAATGTTTCTTTAATAGTCCACATCTACTGCACTCACTTGTCTTTGAGTCAGTTTTTTCCTTTTCAAATTTATAGGGTTTTTTGTTTCGTTTGTGTATTGCTTCAACTTGCAATGGTTGCTGTTCAACTCCTCTGAGGACTGGCTGCTGCTTCTTTATTGCCTCGCTCTGTCTCACACGTGTCATTGCCTTTCCCAGTGTTAAATCTGCGTCTAACTGGAGACTTTCTGACAGTTTAGCATCTCATATGCCAACAACTATACGGTCCCGTATTAGCTGTTCTCGTAATGTCCCAAACTCAGTGTTCTGCCAGCGTGTGCACTGCTGTTATAAAGGACTCCACGCTCTCTCCCGGCTCTTGGCTCCTCCGGTTAAAGCGCGCTCTTTCGAAAATGACGTTTCTTTTGCTAACACAGTGTGCCGTGAAAGCTGCTGTTACTGCCTCGTATTGCTTCGACTGAGCTTCTGTCAGGGGCAAAACATTAAGGATGTCTTCTGCGTCGTCACCAGCAGCATACATGAAGCTGTTCACCTGGAACTCTTGAGACTGCTTGTCCAGCCCCGAAGCAATCCTGTAGCGCTCGAACCGCTTCAGCCATCTTGGCCACTCGGTGACTTTAGTGAAATCAAACTTGCCTGGCGCCGCGAGCTGAGGCACGGCTGCTCCGCCGTCCCCGCTCCTTCCCTGCGCTGCCTCCTGCTCACTCATGTTGTCCTATTCCCGTTTCATTCTGACACCATGTTACGTTAGCTGAACCTCACTTAACGTAGTAACACAGACAACACGTGTGTAAAGCAAGTCACGTCTTTACTTGGAGAACTAACATGTGTGTAACCACAATACATGTCCGGGTGAAGCATAACATAGTTCCGCCTTACTCAACATCCAGCGCAGAACTACAGCGCTAACGCGCTAACCGCGGGTCTATGGTGTTGAGCAGTCATTTTGAAGCTAACCTAATGCTAACAGTCTCCCTCTGGCCTGATGCTCGCTCTCACAGTTGGTGCTGTTGCAATAACACTTCAAACGTTCAAGAATCAGACTTTATTTAATCGCCAAAACACACACACACAGGCTCCGGTCGTACGCCACATCTTTCACGCTCTCTCACGCTCGTTATTCCAAAGCGCACTCCCGTGTCCGTGGCGCGCACACACTCGTGTCCCACTGAGCCGCTGCACTTTGGGGAAAGACACGTCTCACACATTGCTCTCATTGCTCTGATACAAACAACGTGTTCCCCGCTGTCCGTTAGCTACAGTAGCTGCTACAGTAGCTGTTAGCTACAGTAGCTGTTAGCTACAGTAGCTGCTACAGTAGCTGTAAGCTACAGCATCAGAATGTAAACAGGAAGCTCGCACAATGCGGGAGTCACTGAAGTTAGTATTAGCGCCACCAGCTGGACCGAGCGTTGTACTACAGCACAGTTACTCAGGCACAGTTGAAAGAACAAGCATGAAAACCCGAGGAGGCTTTTGGAAAAGACTGTCTGTTACAACATTTCTATTTTGAGTAATCAGTTTTAAAAATGTGATATTTCATGTAAATAATGCATGTGTTTAATAGGATTGATACATTTGCGATGGGCCTTGTTTGTGTGATTTAAATTATTTTGAAGGTGCATAGTGTCATTGTAAGTGAAGTTATTATAAAACTGTTAAGCTACATTTTCACTGTTTACAATGGCAGAGCCATCTCGTTTACAAGCATGTTTTAAGGCTTAATTCCTGTTACACTTATGCTCCATGGGGATTTAGATTAAACTGCATAAAGGAAAATCTATTTCTTTGTCAGTTGTAGTTTGTTTTTAAATAGAAAAAAATAAATCGATTAAAATCAAAAATCGGATTTGGTGTGAAAAAATCGGAGATTTTTTTTTTTTGCCATATCGCCCAGCCCTAGGACTAATACAGTATCTATCTAGTAGGGCTGGGCAATATGGTAAAAAAGTAAAATCTCGATTTTATTCCCTGCTTTGGACAATTTTGATTTTTAATTGATTTTCATTAAAGTCAATAAACACAGACTTTGCCCGTAAACATATTTTTTGATCTTTCCGCTCAATATTCAAGTTTCCAAACTATTTTTAATTTGTTTCCCTCAATACGTATCACATTTTTCACACATCCGATTTTTTAAAAAGCCGATTAATTGCCTAAACTTGATTTATTGCCCAGCCCTACTATCTAGTATTAAAATACAACAGCAGCAGAGGTGCAGCCGCTTGGTTCAGACCATTTTCTCTGCTCTGGTGTAGTGTCTCCTTGTTCTTGAAGACAGGGTTTTCCCGCACGCTGGATAGTGATGGTGAAAGATTGAACTCTGAGTTATGATTAAAGGAGTTTAATGACATCAGAATACATTCAGTTCAATTCAGGCAACAGCGCAATTTGCCTGGGTCCCCTCTGATTCAGGCTCGACGCCAGAAGACCCAGAAAACTGAAGTGGGTTAAATACTAGCATTTACCTTTACCATATATGTCCATCTGACCTGTGATCCTAGACTCTTAAAATAAAAAGCAAGCCTGCTTTTCTGCCACCTGGTCAGCATTCTTGTTGGATGTGAATAGAACATCATACAGGTCATATACCACACTGGTCTAAAGTAAATTGCTAAATGCTTTGTTAGTATTTTACAAATAGTTAGCATTTCTGCTTGGTTTGGTCCGTGAATCATCTCTGCTCCATTCTGGATCACTATTAAATTATGAACACTGTACTGCAGCAACATTTACAGGTAGAAAAAAAAGCAAAACAAATAATAATTGTGAAACACAAAACAATAACTGTATCATAGCTACTTAGGACTTGCTACTGTTTCCAGCGCATTCAAAAGTAAGCATACTCATGGAATTGATATTATCTTGATGTTTCTCACTTGTAATTGCTCTTGCCTTAATATGAAATTGAAACATATTTTTTCTCCTTTTCAGCTGAAACAAACGCATTCTAATGGATAACGAGTACTCAACGGATGATTCTCTAAGTAGTTATGAGTTTAGCGAGGATGAGTATGTTCCCAAATCTAATGAGGTTAGTGAGGAAAGTGAGACTTCATCAGAAGATGACCAGCAGCTCACAACTAAAACTAAGGTGAAGTCCAGAAAAATTGACTTAAATAAAAGAAGAGCTTTGGCCTATAGCCAGGCCCGGACTGGCCATCGGGAGCATCGGGAGATCTCCCGGTGGCCTGCGTGTCAAAGTGGCCTGGGCCTGCCCTATCATCACGGTCTTTTTTTCTTTTTTTTTTTTTCTTCTTTCTTTTAATTTAATTTCATCCTCACGGTCTTTGCAAACTCCTACCCTGCCTGGTGGCCTGGTCCAATGAGCAAGGCCCAGGCCAAAGGCAGTGTTGTGCGTGAACGAGTTCAAAAGAACGCGTTCATTGAACACGCTCATTTTTTCGTGAAACGTTGAACACATTTTTTTATAAATAACTTGAACGTGAATTAGTTCATATTATGTGTCATGAACGGCAGACAATTTGTTTTCCATTTAAAACTGAGTGAAATCTGTTTTCTCTTTTGAAACGCAACGAGAGAAAGTTCCTCCCTCCTGTATTCTCCGCACTGTTTCCGCCGAAAACTAAAAATTCCTACGGTTTCCACCGTCTGTGAACGCACCCCGACTCAGTGTACTACTTGCGGTGCGGCGCTATATGCTAGTGCTATTCATTGGTTGTTGGACTCACATGTGCCGTGATGAAAACACAGGGGTAAGTCAGTGACACAGGGCCGTTTACATTTGACATAAAGTATAGACACACGTTCTGCAGCGCATTACAGTTTGTACTTATGAGCAGAGATGGGACAACTCAGTTCCCATTGAAACCCATGTAAATCTTGTCTGCATTGGAGTCAAAACATCCTGTGCAGTGTACAGGATATAATATATATATACATATATATATATATATATATATATATATATATATACCACGTATTGTGATTTCTAGCTCGTAGTGAAAAAAAATATTTATTTGAATATCTCGCAAAAAGTAAAATGAACTGAACTTTGAACTAGTTCAGAATTAAAATTGAGAACTTCGAACGTGAACTGTTCACTTTGAGCATGTATGAACTGAACTTGAACTTGTTCAGAAAAGCTGTGAACTGGCACAACACTGGCCAAAGCTTTACTGTCATTGGGCCAGAGCAAAATTAAACAAATGTGACGTCACACGTCGGCTACACAGCCAGGCCAGCCTAGCAGTGCACCCAGTGTAGCTTCCCCGGTTGAAATGAGTGGTCTCTCCAACTGATGGTTCATACACGTTGTTATTTTTCCTTTTATATGAGCTGTAACGATGTGATTTTACCTTACTACTTTTTTAACAATAATTGATTAGCTTGTTATAGTTATACACTAATGAACACTTAGTTCATTGTGTGTGTGTGTGTGTGTCTTTATTCTCACTAAACTCCATAAACGTTACGTTGCTAAGCAACGTACAACAATCTTTAAACGTCCGAGATTATATAAACAGTCAATATAAAAAGAAATAAAGAAAACAAAAGTTTTGACAGTCAATCTTAAAACTATTAAAAGAACATCAAAATACAATGACAAAAACCCAAATTTAGAACCTTGTTTGGCCTGAATGGATGAAAAGCTCCCGGCCTGAAATGTTGTCCCACTCCGGCCCTGCCTATAGCTCTCTGGGAGCTGATGTCCCACAATCTTCAAGTGGTTCCGACAGAAAAGCACCTTCACCCAAATCCAGAAAAGTTGACTCAAATAAAGCAGCTTTGGCGTCCTCTAGCACCCTGGACACTGATGACCCACAATCGTCTTCAAGCGGTTCCAATGTGAAGGTCCTGACCTTACAAAAGAAGGCCGATGGTAGTAGAATGTATACAAAAATGTAGGGCTGGGCGATATGGCAAAAAAAAAAAATCTCCGATTTTTTCACACCAAATCCGATTTTCGATTTTAATCGATTTATTTTTTTCTATTTAAAAACAAACTACAACTGACAAAGAAATAGATTTTCCTTTATGCAGTTTAATCTAAATCCCCATGGAGCATAAGTGTAACAGGAATTAAGCCTTAAAACATGCTTGTAAACGAGATGGCCCTGCCATTATAAACAGTGAAAATGTAGCTTAACAGTTTTATAATAACTTCACTTACAATGACACTATGCACCTTCAAAATAACTTAAATCACACAAACAAGGCCCATCGCAAATATATCAATCCTATTAAACACATGCATTATTTACATGAAATATCACATTTTTAAAACTGATTACTCAAAATAGAAATGTTGTAACAGACAGTCTTTTCCAAAAGCCTCCTCGGGTTTTCATGCTTGTTCTTTCAACTGTGCCTGAGTAACTGTGCTGTAGTACAACGCTCGGTCCAGCTGGTGGCGCTAATACTAACTTCAGTGACTCCCGCATTGTGCGAGCTTCCTGTTTACATTCTGATGCTGTAGCTAACAGCTACTGTAGCAGCTACTGTAGCTAACAGCTACTGTAGCAGCTACTGTAGCTAACAGCTACTGTAGCAGCTACTGTAGCTAACAGCTACTGTAGCAGCTACTGTAGCTAACAGCTACTGTAGCAGCTACTGTAGCTAACAGACAGCGGGGAACACGTTGTTTGTATCAGAGCAATGAGAGCAATGTGTGAGACGTGTCTTTCCCCAAAGTGCAGCGGCTCAGTGGGACACGAGTGTGTGCGCGCCACGGACACGAGTGTGTGCGCGCCACGGACACGGGAGTGCGCTTTGGAATAACGAGCGTGAGAGAGCGTGAAAGATGTGGCGTACGACCGGAGCCTGTGTGTGTGTGTTTTGGCGATTAAATAAAGTCTGATTCTTGAACGTTTGAAGTGTTATTGCAACAGCACCAACTGTGAGAGCGAGCATCAGGCCAGAGGGAGACTGTTAGCATTAGGTTAGCTTCAAAATGACTGCTCAACACCATAGACCTGCGGCTAGCGCGTTAGCGCTGTAGTTCTGCGCTGGAGAAAATAAAAATCGAATTTTTAAAAAAAGATATCGCCCTAAACGTAAAACTCGAATTAATGATTAAAATCGATTAATCGCCCAGCCCTACAAAAATGTATTTCTGCCTTTTTTGTTTCAAGCCCTATCAAAAGATGGCGCGTCACTTGGAAGCAAAACATAGCCATGAACCTGAAGTGGCGAGGGCAATAGAAAATCCCCTGAGATCAAAGGAGCGAAGAGTGCAACTGGATTTGCTGAGGAATCGAGGTAACTGGGTCCATAACAACAATGTGCTGAAAGAGGGGAGAGGAACATTGGTACCCCGGCAACAGTCAAAGATACCGGTTAAGGAGATGGACTACATGCACTGTGTAAATTGCCACGGTTATTTTAAAAGAAAGACACTATGGAGGCACATGAAGACATGTGCCCTAAACTTGAGTGTGCAAAAGCTAAAGCCGGGAAAAACAAGGGTCCAGGCGCTTTGTGGATATGCACAACCAGTTCCCAATGGAGTGAAGGAGAAATTTTGGGAACTGGTTTTAGGAATGAACCAGGATGGCATAACGGCAGCTGTAAGAAAAGAAACCGCAATTTTAAAGTTTGGGGAACACCTGTACAATAAGCATGGCCACGATGTAACAAAGCATGACTACATACGGCAAAAGATGAGAGAGACCGGGCGATTACTTGTACAAGGCAGGAAAAATGGAAAACTGCAAGAAATGTTAGATTTCTTTACTCCAGCTAATTTTCCAGATGTTGTTGAAGCTGTCAAGGATGTGGCAGGCTTCAATACAGAAACAAACAAATTCAAAACACCATCCTTGGCTCTTAAGTTAGGTCACAACCTAAAGAAAATAGCCAATATAATTGAGTGTGACGGACGGATTGCTGGACATGAAGATATGATTAAAAATGCGCAGGTTTTCAAACAAATTTGTGACACTAAATGGAGTGAGTGCATTTCCTCACAGGCTCTGAGAACATTAAATGAGGAAAAGTGGAATGTACCTCAGCTCCTTCCTTTCACAGAAGATGTCAAAAAAATGCACCACTACCTTGAGCTCCAAAAAAACGAGTGTCTAACAAATCTCAGACAATTTCCGAATAAAAAGCACTGGGGGGAACTTGCTAAAGTCACACTTTGTGAAATCATCGTGTTCAACAGAAGAAGAGCTGGAGAAGTTTCAAAAATGCCCCTTAGTGCTTTCATATTGAGCACTTCTCCAGCCAATCCTGACGTAGAGTTAGCCCTTTCTGAACTGGAGAAGCAGCTCTGCAAACACTTCAAACGGCTGGAAATCAAAGGGAAACGAGGACGGAAGGTACCCATTCTGCTTTCACCGGACATGCAGACCTCTATGGCATTGCTGGTCCAAACAAGGCGTGAATGTCAGGTGCCTGATGAAAACCCCTTTTTTTTTGGAAGACCTGAGGCTGCAAGTGATTTCAGGGGATCCGATGTGATCCGTCAAGTAGCACAGAGCTGTGGGGCAAAGAATCCTGAAACGCTGTCGTCCACCAAACTGCGAAAGCACATGGCCACCATGTCCAGGGTCCTGAATCTCAAGGACAACGAAATGGATGACCTAGCCGACTTCCTTGGTCATGATATACGAGTACATAGGCAATACTATCGACTTCCTGAGGGGACATTGCAGCTGGCCAAAATCAGCAAGATGCTAATGGCCCTTGAACAGGGAAAAATGTCTGAATTCAAGGGGAAGAATTTGGACCAGATCGACATAGATCCTCATGGTGAGAAGAAATTTAGGTCTACTACATTTTAGAAGTGAGGCTTTCTGATTACACATTTTGTATGCACATTAGGGCTGCTTCTGTGAATTTAACTGTATAACATCCTATTAAATACACTAATATATGTACCTGCTTGTTGTGTTCGTCAGAGGAATTGCATGTGGACAATGAATCCGACAGTGAAGATGAGGACGACACGACCGGGAAGAATACAACACCTTCCACTTCACCTGCGCCTTCCTCCTCACAATCATCCGGTATGGAGGGCACTTTTCAGGGAGTAATTGTGGTCTTATCTATATCTGTCTGTCTTATCCTTCAACCGGATGTAAAAATAGTTTACAATTGATTCTTTCTTTACAGACTCGCACTTTAAGGTGAACAAGAAATCAAGTAATGCCATTGGACAAATTGGTGCTCGTCCAGCCCAAGGTAATTTATAGACTAATAGGATTACAGGATATACAGACTATTGGGAGGAGTTCAAATTGTGTAAAATAGGTCATAGTATGCAAATTGTATGGAAAGGTCTCCCTACATAGACTTTGGGCCATCTTTAATATTTCTCTAATTTACATAAAGCCTCTATCTCTTCATTTATACATGTTTGCAGGTGGATTGGAGGATGGTTTGGAAGAAAAGGAGCCGCTGCAGGAGGTCACAGCACGACCAAAAGCTAAAGGTAAACTGTGAAGTTCTTCAATAGAAAAACCTCTTGTTACTTGACCCTCATTAACTGTCTAACCTGCTCATATGTCTAACTTCTGCTCATATGTCTAACTTCTGCTCCTATGTCTAACTTCTACTCATATGTCTAACCTGCTCCTATGTCTAACCTGCTCATATGTCTAACCTGCTCCTATGTCTAACCTGCTCCTATGTCTAACCTGCTCATATGTCTAACCTGCTCCTATGTCTAACCTGCTCCTATGTCTAACCTGCTCATATGTCTAACCTCTGCTCCTATGTCTAACCTCTGCTCCTATGTCTAACCTCTGCTCATATGTCTAACCTGCTCCTATGTCTAACCTGCTTCTATGTCTAACCTGCTCCTATGTCTAACCTGCTCCTATGTCTAACCTGCTCATATGTCTAACCTCTGCTCATATGTCTAACCTCTGCTCCTATGTCTAACCTCTGCTCCTTGTCTAACCTCTGCTCCTATGTCTAACCTCTGCTCTGCTATGTCTAACCTCTGCTCATATGTCTAACCTCTGCTCCTATGTCTAACCTCTGCTCCTATGTCTAACCTCTGCTCCTATGTCTAACCTCTGCTCCTATGTCTAACCTCTGCTCCTATGTCTAACCTCTGCTCCTATGTCTAACCTCTGCTCCTATGTCTAACCTCTGCTCATATGTCTAACCTCTGCTCATATGTCTAACCTGCTCCTATGTCTAACCTCTGCTCCTATGTCTAACCTCTGCTCCTATGTCTAACCTCTGCTCCTATGTCTAACCTCTGCTCCTATGTCTAACCTCTGCTCCTATGTCTAACCTCTGCTCCTATGTCTAACCTCTGCTCCTATGTCTAACCTCTGCTCCTATGTCTAACCTCTGCTCCTATGTCTAACCTCTGCTCATATGTCTAACCTCTGCTCCTATGTCTAACCTGCTCCTATGTCTAACCTGCTCATATGTCTATCCTCTGCTCATATGTCTAACCTCTGCTCCTATGTCTAACCTCTGCTCATATGTCTAACCTCTGCTTCTATGTCTAACTTCTGCTCATGTCTAACCTCTGCTCCTATGTCTAACCTGCTCATATGTCTAACCTCTGCTCCTATGTCTAACCTCTGCTCCTATGTCTAACCTCTGCTCCTATGTCTAACCTGCTCATATGTCTAACCTGCTCCTATGTCTAACCTCTGCTCCTATGTCTAACCTGCTCCTATGTCTAACCTCTGCTCCTATGTCTAACCTGCTCATATGTCTAACCTGCTCCTATGTCTAACCTCTGCTCCTATGTCTAACCTGCTCATATGTCTAACCTCTGCTCATATGTCTAACCTCTGCTCCTATGTCTAACCTCTGCTTCTATGTCTAACTTCTGCTCATGTCTAACCTCTGCTCCTATGTCTAACCTCTGCTCCTATGTCTAACCTCTGCTCCTATGTCTAACCTCTGCTCATATGTCTAACCTGCTCCTATGTCTAACCTCTGCTCCTATGTCTAACCTCTGCTCATATGTCTAACCTGCTCCTATGTCTAACCTCTGCTCCTATGTCTAACCTCTGCTCATATGTCTAACCTGCTCCTATGTCTAACCTCTGCTCCTATGTCTAACCTCTGCTCCTATGTCTAACCTCTGCTCCTATGTCTAACCTCTGCTCCTATGTCTAACCTCTGCTCATATGTCTAACCTGCTCCTATGTCTAACCTCTGCTCCTATGTCTAACCTCTGCTCCTATGTCTAACCTCTGCTCCTATGTCTAACCTCTGCTCCTATGTCTAACCTCTGCTCATATGTCTAACCTCTGCTCCTATGTCTAACCTGCTCCTATGTCTATCCTCTGCTCATATGTCTATCCTCTGCTCATATGTCTAACCTCTGCTCCTATGTCTAACCTCTGCTTCTATGTCTAACTTCTGCTCATGTCTAACCTCTGCTCCTATGTCTAACCTCTGCTCATATGTCTAACCTCTGCTTCTATGTCTAACTTCTGCTCATGTCTAACCTCTGCTCCTATGTCTAACCTGCTCATATGTCTAACCTCTGCTCCTATGTCTAACCTCTGCTCCTATGTCTAACCTCTGCTCCTATGTCTAACCTGCTCCTATGTCTAACCTGCTCCTATGTCTAACCTCTGCTCCTATGTCTAACCTGCTCCTATGTCTAACCTCTGCTCCTATGTCTAACCTGCTCATATGTCTAACCTCTGCTCCTATGTCTAACCTGCTCATATGTCTAACCTGCTCCTATGTCTAACCTCTGCTCCTATGTCTAACCTCTGCTCCTATGTCTAACCTCTGCTCCTATGTCTAACCTCTGCTCCTATGTCTAACCTCTGCTCCTATGTCTAACCTCTGCTCCTATGTCTAACCTCTGCTCCTATGTCTAACCTCTGCTCCTATGTCTAACCTCTGCTCCTATGTCTAACCTCTGCTCCTATGTCTAACCTCTGCTCCTATGTCTAACCTCTGCTCATATGTCTAACCTGCTCCTATGTCTAACCTCTGCTCCTATGTCTAACCTCTGCTCATATGTCTAACCTGCTCCTATGTCTAACCTCTGCTCCTATGTCTAACCTCTGCTCCTATGTCTAACCTCTGCTCATATGTCTA